GCAGCTCCTCTGCAAAAAAAAAAAAAAAAAAAAAAAAAAAAGTCAGAGCCAATAATGATTCCTGAAATATTTTTACCACTATGGCAGAATGAAAGAGTACTTTCTAACTCTTTACCCATTATCTTTTAGTAATTTCAATAGTCTTTTGATTCCTTTGCAACAATTTCCCAAAAAAGAAAATTCACTTTTAAATTATTTGAGGATATATTTGTAATTTGAATCTGTCTTTCACTAGGTATTGAAGGCTGGGTTCAAATTCTAATTTGTAGTCAGACATAATGGTAAAGACCTATAAGCCCAGCACTCTGAGAGGATGAGGCAGGAGAATTTCAAGTTCAAGGTTTGCCTGGATAACTTGGTAACTTGGGAAAGACACTCTCAAAACTAAAAAGGAAAAAAAAAAAAAAGCACTGGATGCATAGAGCTGTTTGAAGGCCCTGGGTTAAATCTCCCAGTACAAACAAACAAACAAAAAAAACTTGTTTTTTAACTTGTCCACTTACCTGGAACTTAAGAGAAGTAAATTTGTTCAGGCATCAACTTCAGCAATGTAACTTGCTTTGTCAAGGTTAAGATTAATAGGCTCTCAATAAAGGTTACTTTCCCCTGCCTCTCATTAAAGTAAATAAAGTATTAGTTAAGGGCCAATTCTATTTAAGGGTTGTTGCGAGTCTACTAAGGAGGGCCAAAAGAATATATAATAGAGTCCAACATCAAACTCTGTCCTCTGGTTTACTTTTTATTACAAGACACAAGAACCTCTCTTCAAAGTATTCCTTCCTCTCTTTCTGCACCCTGCCAAGGTTTCTTTTTTCATTAGTACATATTTGCAAGTCACAGAGCTTACAATCATTTTGGGGAATGCTTATGTGAATATAGCACAGCTTTTTCCCCCAATCCCTTTCCCTTCTTCCTCACTCTGGCTCCCCGATCACTTTGTATGCACTTGTTGACATGATTTGTCTTAGCTCATGTTATGGCATATAATGATTACACTGATTGGTCATTAGGATCCTGTGCATGGCACATCTGGGTCAGGTACCAGATTCTGCCAAGGAATTCTGATTCATATTTCCCTCGAAAAGGACGAGATACACTGGAGAAGGACGAGATACACTGGAGCTTTTCTTCTCAGTATCGCTACACTGTGTATACAATTCACACAGTTAGCTAACTGTCACCTGTGCCTAGAATCTATTTTAAGGATTATTCATGATTAAGTCCTCTATTAATGCATGCAAGTTACTTAATACTGTCAATTAATGAGAGTACTTAATACTACCCTCAGTAAATATTAGAAAACAAATCCTTTAAGAAGAACCTTTGGGAATTGGGTTTTATAATCCACTGCTCCCCTTATTGGCAAATAAAACAATTGTTATAATAGTACTTTATTACTCTATTACAGTAGATAAAAATCCCACTTAGTACAAATGAATCTTTCATTCCATCTAAAAGTTTAACTATAAAATATACTTCACAAAGCTCATCTGCAACATGGAACCAAATAGAAACTTAAAGATCTATTGGTAATCTAGATTATCAAAAAGTAAGTAATGAAGTTTCAGGTAAAGGTGATAACATCAAACGATGTCAGTATAACACTCATAATTTAACAATATGCAATACAGGCCCATTCAGTTCTTCCCAATTAGTTTTATTCTTTTGGATAGTCAAGCGCTAACAGAATTTTTAAAAACAGTCAACTTCATTTGTTCTTAAATATTATGCTCAGTTTTTACTATTTTACTGCCAAGGATTAAACACTTTTTCACAAGTTAAATTTATTTGATCTTCGAATTGATTTCAAGAAACAAAACAAGTACAGTAGTTAAAAGTTCTCTAAAACTGTTCTGTTGTTCAAATAAAATTTCAGATTCTTCAGCAATTAAAAGTTATTTGATTAAAAAATTAAAACTAATATAGCCCAAACCAGACTGGAAGTATAGCTATTAATACTAAAAACATAAATTGTGTTCAAATTTTCATAAGTTTAAAATTTCTATAGATACAAAGTTACCAATTGTAAGGCTTCTAGGTATAAAATATATAGGTAAAAAACAAGTGCTTCAAAAACAAGACACTACTTCCAAATCAAGTGAATGTAACTATCAAAATAAAAATACATCTTCAAGAAAGTCACCAGAAAGCAATTTCAAAGGAATTGTTGCACTCTTTAATACCAAATGATAACAGCCTTCAATGTATCTATGTCTCCAGGAAAAATATAAAATCAAAATGTAAAAGTAACCATTAATACTGTCTTCATCTTTTTCCTTTCTTGTTAGCATTTCATATTTGTTATCAGAACGAAACTAATAGCCGACCCAAACCCACTACCTCTCTTCATATTCAACTACTATTTGTAGCGCTAGAGGTTAGGTAACTTGAACAAGGAGAACACCTAAGAAGTGGTGGAGCCGGGATTTGAACCTGGACATATATCACCCAGGACAACACATTTTAAAGGGAGGAGGATGAAAAAGTAATCAGTAGTATTTTTTCCAAAGTGGTTTGCAAAACAAGTGTTGTGAATGAGAACAAACATTTAAATTATAAATGATGAGAATACGGATTACGAAACTTTTCCCCTAAACAAGTAGGTTGTTCGGTACGGTATTTGATTTGTCAAAGTCTAGACTGCATTCAGTCCTGTTGGGAAATAATGTAATGTCACTGTTTGGACACTCGATTTTACGCGCTAAGCAAAGTGCATTGTAATTTAAAGAATGAGAAGGGTAGTGATGTAACCTGAGCAACAGTTTTAAGCAAAAGGACAAGAGTGCGTGTGTCAAGAAGGAAGGGGGTTAAAAAAGGAGAGGTGACCACCACATTCACTTAACGCCCCACCCCTGAGAGAAAAAGTAACTAAACCAACCTGGGTCAGCGCCAAAGCCAACTGGGAAACTGGCTCCGCGGGATCCAGGGAGGGGATGACAGGAGACCCCAGCAGAGGGGGAGGGGTGACGATGACAGCAGAGGCGGCGGCGGAGAGGCGGCAAAGGAGAGCACGGTGCAAGGGACGCAGACGGAAGGAAGAAAACGTTTTATGCCAGAGGTTCAAATGACGTGACAAGGAACAGCGCAGAAAGCTAAGAAAGGAGGCACCGCGGGCAGGAAGGGGTCCGTCCGGGGCAGGAGACACATGTCAAGACGGAGCTGCGCGGCCACCCGAGCCGGCCCGCGCCCGCGCCCGCGCCCGCCCGACCCACCCGCTCCGCCCGCGCCCGACGCCGTCAGGTCCCCCGGTCCCGCGCCGGCCCCCACCCGAGCGGGATGGGTGCCGGCGGGGGGATGGGGCTCCCCTCGCCCTCCGCCCGGGCTGGAGCAGCGAGCCGAGGACGCAGCCCAGCCCCGGGAGCGGGAGGCCGGCAGACGCAGAGGCCCGGGACCCGGTGACACGTCGGGCGGCCGACGGGCGCCTCACCTGACAGAAGCGCCGGCAGTAATCCCGACTGCTGATCCCCACTCCGTCGCCGCCGCAGCCGCCGCCGAAGCCGCCGCCGCCAGCGCCACCGCTGCAGTCGCCCAAGGCTCCGGCCCCTACAGGGCCTGGCGGGGGCTCCACAATGGCCACGAGCTCTTCTCCGAGGCGCTCGGCCTCCTGGTCGCTCTCTTCCTCCGCCATGAGGCTCTCGCAGCCCAGCGCGTACCAGCCCCTGCGCCGCCGCCGCCGAAGCTGCCTCGGCTAACCTCCCCCCTTCTGGTTCCCTCCCCCTTCCCTCCGCCCAGGCCGGACGGGTGGGGAGGGCACTCGGCGGGGCCTTATTTCCGGCTCCTCCTACCCACGCCCCCAGTTCGCATTGGGCAGAGCTAACTGCCAATCACTCCTACTCCCGCCCTCCCACTACCATTGGTGAACTCGACTGTCTGTTTGCTAGACTCGCCCTCTGTTGGTCAAAACTGCACGTTGGTTGCTGGGGACCGCCTACGGGGCCTGCCATAGGCGGCGCGGGAGGACGGGGCGCGGCGGGGGACACGGCGGCCGCCGCGGCGCTAGACCGGGCAACGGCGGCGACGGGTACTCCTCCTTCAGCCCCTTCCTCCTTCTCTCTTTCCCCTTTGCTTTCGGCCGGGTCTCGTCTACTTCCCGGCCCCCCAGCGTCCCCAGGCTCACGGTACCGAGGAGCCCGCGAGGCCGAGGGTGGGCCCGGCCGTTGCGGGCCGTGGGCCCCGGGCCTGCGGTCCCGAAGCGGGAGCCGGGGGCGGGGCCGGGCCGCGC